TGCGTGAACATTTGGGTGGCATTATGCAAATATTTCCATATAGTGTGGTAGATATGTGGGGGCGTGTTAGAATGAGCCGTTTTAGGGGGGCGTGGCAGAGTCTTAACTTTGATAAAGAATATCTCTTTGGTTTTGAGACTTTAGTCTTTGCAACTTCAGGGATCTTATCTATGCACAATCAGCTTGTAACACTCCAAAGAGAAAGGAAAACTTGAAATCGCATCATATGACCCCTTTAATGTGCCCTTGTAATCTTTAATAAAAATTAAAAAAACACATTAATTTCCCCTCTCGTTGCAATGATCTCTTCTCTGATAAGATGTGGACCAGCAACCTGTCACTCACAAGAGATGCTAATAATGCAGAAATGCAGCAATTAGCAAATGACAATGTCAGTTCCCAAAAACAAAATAGTCTAGCTTTACATTATTTTCTCATTCGAAGAGGTGTTTCACTCAGATATACTTCACAGTAATGGAAGAAAAGAAAATCACAATTATCATCTCATGCTGACTTTAAGGGCACAATCTTCTGAATGATCAAACATTTTTTACATGATTATGGAGCTGATGTTTTTTGTTGATTCAGTGTTGTGTTTTCCCTTTTTAGATTCTTACCCATGTTGACCCATTGACTGGCTGCATTAAATACTACACCCCTAGGGTGCGCTTTTTACACACACCCCCTCCCTGCCCTCGCACTGACTGGCCCAATGACTTCGGGAAGCCGTGGTGGAAGGATAACCGCTATGAGGTTGGGTTGCTGTCTGCCAAAACACGCTGGATCCGCATTATCAACACTCTAACCTCCCAAGAGCAGAGGCTGGAGGTAGGCCAATATTAACCTGGCATAGATTTGTAGAGAGCAGAAAATGTCGATGCTGACTCATCTGCAAAATGATTTCAGGATTGTGCCTCAAAAAGTGCATATTAATTGTTTAAAGGGGTCCTATTATGCTTTTTCACTTTTTCAACTTTAGTTATTCTGTAATGTTGCTGTTTGAGCATAAAAAAGATCTGCAAAGTTACAAAGCTCAAAGTCCACTTCAAAAGGAGATATTTTATTGAACAGAAATCACTTTTCAAAAACTACAACGAACGACTCGTTTGGACTACAACGCATATTTTCCGGGATTTGTGATATCACAAATATCAACGAATGGGACGAGACCTGGTTGAGCTGCACTAGAGAAGGCAACGAGTGTTATCACTATGTCGGAGACACGCTAGCTTTCCCAAGGCAGACGAACTTAGAGTGGTTACAATCATCCGGGTTTAAATCGCGCTCAAATTTATTTGCTTTTGACGCAATATTTACACTGAAGTTCGCAGGCGGCTATGGCAAGGGCATGACATTTCCCGACCAGGCGCCGAGTGCTGCCAATCACAACACACACTGGCCCAGCTAACCAATCACAACACACACTGACCCAGCTAACCAATCACAACACACACTGACCCAGCTAACCAATCACAACACACGCTAACCAATCACAGCACACACTGGCCCAGCTAACCAATCACAGCACACACTGGCCCAGCTAACCAATCACAGCACACACTGGCCCAGCTAACCAATCACAGCACACACTGGCCCAGCTAACCAATCACAGCACACACTGGCCCAGCTAACCAATCACAGCACACACTGGCCCAGCTAACCAATCACAGCACACACTGGCCCAGCTAACCAATCACAGCACATTTCGTATTTCAGAAGGCGGGCCTTCATTTGATACAGGAACTATTCGAGCCGTTCGTGCCAGACTGCGGAGAGAGGTGTTGTAATAATGTAAAATATGTGAAAAATAATGTGTTTTTCTAACAACCTAGTATAAGAGCCTGTTCTAGTACACCCCCAAAACAAAATCAAGACTTTGTAAAAGAGCAGAATAGGACCCCTTTAAGCATTCCTGAGATAAAATGCCTGCACAGAGCACATTCCTTGTCAAATTGCACGCTTACACTGCACTGCTGCATACTGAAGAGGGCAGGGTTGCACTGCTCCATCGCTTTGTAGCTCCTCTCCATCTTTTGATTTCGTCCTCCCTCCCGCTCTTTGCATCTGATCCTTTTCCAGCTTGAAGGAAATGGACCTAATGTTAAGCCTCTGGCATTACACAATTTTTCAGACTGACCGTACTGATTCACTTGCTTCTTGCTTCAGCGTCCACCAGGCTGCATCTTAAACTCTGGGCTGAATAACCATCTGGCAGTTTTCATTCAGCCCAGATGCTTCTTTCTCTTCTTTCTATGGGCCTGTCGGAGACAAATTCCTGCCCTGTGTCTTTCTATAGGAATGCTTGTGCATTCATAAAATAAACATGTATTTGGAGTAGGGTTGCAAAGGGGCGGAAAATTTCCGGTAAATTACTTTCCATGGGAACTTCGTCTGGGGAATTTTGGAAATATTCCAAGTTTGAAATTTACCAGGAATTTACGGGAATTTACTGGAATTTATGGGAATTAATTGGAAATTTGGGGAAATTTATAAAACTATCATATATAGCCTACAAACATAAGTATTAACATTTTGTTTGATCATAGGCTCACATGCATGCAAACTAATACAAATTTAAAAATGACATTTTTGGATTTTTTGGGGGGAATCTGTGATGCTTTTTTCAGGATTTACTGATGAATGAAAACTTGTGAACGGTGTTTATTCAAAATAGAAATATTTTCTAACAATATAAGTCTTTACTATTACTTTTTATTAATTTAACACATCCTTGTTGAATAAAAGTATTAATTTATTTAAAGAAAAGATACTGACCCCAAACTTTTGAATGGTAGTGTAGTTTTAAAAAGGATTTCTATTTTAAATAAACGCTGTTCTTTTTTTTCTTTTTTTTAAACTCTTTATTCATCAAAGAATCCTGAAAAAAGAATCACAGGTAATAAAAAAAAAAAGATATTAAACAGCACAACTGTTACCAAAATTGATTATAAATAAGCATATTAGAATGATTTCTGAAGAATCATATGACACTGAAGACTGGAGTAATGATGTTTAAAATTCAGCTTTGCATCACAGAAATACATTATATTTTAAAGTATATTAAAGCAGAAAACCATTATTTTAAATTGTAATACCAGTAATACTGCGCAATATTACTGTTTTGTTCTGCATTTTTGATCAAATAAATGAAGGCTTGATGAGCAAAAGATATGCAATGTTTAAAACATTAAAATAGTAATGTTTCCGAACTTTTGACCAGTACTGTACCTCTGTATGATAACAGAAAACTGGTAGAAAGAGCATCACAGCTTGTGCTAGTTTATACCTCATAAATTGTCAATGAAATAATGCTAACTCGCTTAGATTTTTCATATCTTGATTTACTGGCTAGCTAGCTACTGTATAAAATTGTTCAGTCAGTGTGTTTGTTTTTACAATGGTATAGCCTAATTTAGTTGCACAGTATATTAACACACAGCACATGGAAGTGTTAAACAATTTTTTGTAATATTCATGTAATTTACATGAATACTTACCAAGATGGCCATTTTGATATTTTGTGCGCAGGATTTAAGAAATGATCTGTTCATGTTCTGTAGGAAACCACGGTGCATGCAGGGGGTGTGGCCTCAATATACCGGAATTTTGCAACCCTAATTTGGAGCAGCCGAATAGTTCTAAGCTGTTATTTTCTAAGCAGGTTAGCTCTGAGGAGACTCTGGATGAGATTCTCCAGCGATACCTGCGCTACAATTCCCATGCAGCAAGCTACACCTGGAAGCACAATGGCGTAAATTTGGACATGAGCAAGACCCTGAGTGAAAACGGCATCCCTGAAGAGGACGAGTTTTACTGCGGAAGCCCAGACTGTGACCTCTTCTCTCCATCCATATGTCTGTATTTCAACGACGACCTCACTGAACTCTAAAAACGCATGCTATTAATATGAACAATGGCATATAATTAATTAGAATATCACATCCACTGCGAGCCAATTTGAGCGAGAAGCATGAACGCCACATCAACTATTCATGTGTTCAGTGTTTCATCGATTCCTGTCGGTGGTTATCTTATTGCAGCTCTGTGAGCTTCATCCAATCAAATGCTGAGCAACAGAATAAAAAAGATGAATGCCAGCCTACATAATTAAACCCCTGAACCATAAAGTCTGGTGGTTGCCATGGTAATTGCTTGGAGGAAATGCAGCAGCTACTGTATTGTAGGCCACAGCGGGCTCTCAACCCTAACTAAGTAGCATTATATATGTATGCATGTACACAGAAATTATTTAATGCAGCCAACATTTCAATTTAATCACTGCTTTATGAGACTATGCCATTAACGTCTGCAAACGTGCATCTTTTTGGTAAGCGGTTTCATTTGCTTGTGCACCGTGTACTTGGTCTAATGAATTTTTTGGGAACGTTTTTGTTCTGTGTGCACAGTAAAGAACATCTAGAACAGTGGTTCTCAACCAGGGGTCTTGAGATTGCTTAAAATGATTTAAAATAAGACAAAATATGCACCAAACAGCTAAAACGCAAGATGTAAGCTGATGTCAAATTTCTCGTTTTAATTCATTCCCTCAACACCTGTTTCTATGATCTTGAGAAACCTGGATTTATGTGGAATTTTAAGTGTGATTTCAAGACCTGGAAAAGTCATGGACATTTCTATAACAAATATACATTTTTGTAGTTGCCAAGCTCAAAAACTATAGTATTAGGTAGAAACTGCTGAGAAATCACTATTTGTGTGTAAATAAAATAAGAAAAAAAATACAAAAATTTAAAAAAAAAATGTAAATCATGTATATTCATTAATAGTAATATAAGTCCTGATAAACATTCAGTTATTGATCATTCAGTTATTGCACCTGTCATTTTGGAATTTTATTACATTATCATATTTTATTTAAATATTATAAAGAAAATCTTGCTATTATAAATATAATTTAGATTATTTATATTAATATTTAAGTAAATTAATTTATATTGCACCTTCTAATATATATATATATATATATATAAATTAAAATGAAAAAGTTTGAAATTAGCATCTTTTTTTCCACAGCAAAAGTACCGGAAATATCTTGAGGTGACTTCAAATATTGTTTTTGACAATTGGAGGCCTCAGAGTCACAAAGGTTAAGATCCGCTGATTTAGATTATACCAGCCAAACAATAAAAAACTAAATTAGACTAAATATGAAAAACTGTATTTAAAGCAGGAAGAAATGGATAAAGCCTTTTTGCATCAGTACCACTTAATGGTTTGCTTGTGGGCACACCGGACTTCACAATCCAATATGTGCATTTGCAAAATATTATTGTAATTCAGCAGCTAAAAATATAAAATTATCCATTCCATTTAATTTTCCTGATAATTTATTCTATTTTGGGCGGCTCTGATAACTTGCTTTGTTTTGTCCTGAGCTCAAATAGTTAATTTTTAAGCAATGCAACATGATGTAAGTGTGGGCATGGCTGCGGCAGCGCTCCCCCCTCTAGCCAAACCTCACATCAGCCCCTTCGCTCCACATTTTATTATTTATTTATTTATCATTATTTTATTTTTTTTAGATTTGTTTTTACAAAGGTGGGGGCCTTAAAAGAATATTAAGGTGGCCATGTTTGTTAGATTCATGTTGCGCTGCGTACAGTGCGCGCGGGCGTTACTACGTGCGCTTTCGGAAAAAGCAGACAGTAACCAGGCAAGTCTGAAGCAGAGAGTTAAAGCTCACACAATAAAACGAGTTGAAATACAAGTTGCAATCAGCTATACGCCCCCCTCCAGTAACAATGTGATTATTTTTAAGGAGGGAGGGGAGTCTGAAGAGAGAGAGAGAGAGAGAGGAGGAGAAAGAGGGGGGGCGTTCTGAAATAATATAGTCAGCCATTTTTATGTAAGGGGATTTTTCTTATTGGGGGGGGCGGTTGTTAAAAAATAAATATAAGGGCGGCCATCTTTGTTTCTCTGCCTTGTAGTGTAAAATATTCCAAAACGCCCCCCACTTTTTCTGTGTCGATTTGAATATTAAATAAATATCATAATTCGGAAGGAATACACTTTTGGATCTCGCGGAACGGGGTCACCGACGGGAATATAATGTCCTCTCTTCTCCGTTCTTGTGAGGAAGATGAGGGCACAGCGGTTAATTCCGAGGAAGGAGATTTTGATGAAGAAGAAGAAAACGACGGAGACCTGGACGAGAACGCAGGCGACATAAACTCGCCCGCGGCGCTTAGAGAAACTGCAGCAAGAGCCGCGCCAGGTACCGTACAGTCCGCGGAGCGCGCGTCGGGCGCAAAAACACATCGAAACAAACGCGAATGCTCCTAAAACTGCCACAGCGACATCTGCGCTAATGCACACTTCAGTCTGGCTCCTCTAAATTGGCGTTTGCTTTATTTATCCGCGTGCATTTCGGCAGAGAGTTGCATAGAGTTTGGCTAAAGTTGACCGATCCCCCTCTCTCTCTGTCCCGTCTGTGTCATTCATCAGGTCTGTCATATGATGGTGCTTTCTCATCTCCAGCTGTGATCCGACAAAGGATCACTAAGCCGCCACTATGTCCTTTTTTGTTTGCCCTGAAGGTTACAGACGTGGCACTTGAGCAGATAAAGAATAATATGACAATGCATTGATCTAAAGAGGCGTGAGCGTCAGGACTACCGCTTTGATCGTGACAATGTAACGTTAAATAAACTTGACCCGACCCACTGCCGCCTGGTTCAGTACAGGGCAGAGATCTGTGTGCTGCGATGCTTTCACTTTGCAAAACGCCAGTTTGTTCGCTGTCAGCAGCCCTCGGGCTGTTTTGAGTGTGGGAATATGTCAACAAAGCGCTAAATTATTATGTATATCTATGGCATAACATCAACAAGATAGTGAGGAGTCAAGAGTTTCCACTATTCAGTCGATCAATGCGCCACACAGCATGAAATGCCTCAAAGCTTAGTTAATTGCATTGTTTTGTAAGATTTTACTTTTAAAAACAACTTATTATTTCTAACTTTTATGTCACTCTGCAACTGTGCTGATGTTTGTGGTCATATTTGGGGCCTCGTTTGGTGCGTAACCGCTGTCTCGCGCATTCCCACAGTGCGCATGAATCGATTAGCACGCGCGTCCCGTCTAGACCCCGCGACCTTCAGCTGCGGTTCATCTGGTGGTCTGCTCCCCGGGTGCAGGAGTTCACGACGAGGGGAGCATCAGCTCGGTTCGCGGCCTCTCGATCACCGAGCCCCGAGTGCGTGCTACTGCCGCCCCTGGTTGCAGCGAGCGGGGAAGAAGGGCTCTGCCAGCGCGCGTCAGCAACAAAGACACAATCACATCTAACTCGTTTATCGCAGCGCAGTGGAGATAGTTCTAATCTGCGATGTTAAACATGACATGCTGCATTTATACAAACAAGCTGTATCAGGGTGAATGGAACAGTGTAAAAAGTGAGAAGGTGTACTACTTGTTACCGTGAGGAAGTATTTCTTATCTTATCTTATTATATGACTTATTTGGTGTCAACTAATGTAGTCAGGTTGATTTAGTTATATTAAATTATATTCTGGACTTGGTAATATTATTACCAAAATGTACTTTTGAATTTAAACAGGCTAAGAAATAGCTGTTCACGTGTTCTGCACAGAGCTGTATGCTTTAAATGAAAGAACAGACTGGATCTGAACGATTTTACATGGCTGCTGTAAATAGTCACATGACTAGAGCTGTTTAACTCTACTTTGCCCCTCTGAAAGATGATGTCTGTGTCAAAGCGCCTTTTATGGAAGCGTGTCAAAATTGTCATAATACAGCTACCTTATTTGGAATATGTAATGTTAACCATTTTTAGGTGACCTGGCTGTGTGTTTAAAGAAAAAATATTTTGAACATTTTGTGAAAGAAGAAAAGTGGGTTGCTGCATCATTTAATTATTCCTTAAATATTTTTACTTAAAGTAATTTCTTCAACAAACACAGTGACATGAAATTCTCATCTTATGGAGCGCTGCATACAATATTTATCATCGTCTTAAAATTCACTCCGTAAATAGCTTTCGGAGAGTCATTATTAGGTCATGTAGATAATCATGTTTGTGAGATTAATTCATTAAGTCCTACAGCTTAGTTCAAGTCAGAAGTGGAATGACTTATATTTCCTGTGCGACGGTCTCGGTCTACGCACCGCTCGTGCTGTTCAATAATTGAAGTGGGAAATTATTTGAAAGATACCTCAGAGGGTTTGCATAGAATTATGGTCACTTTCATTTCGTCAGTCCTCGCATGTTCTCTCATTTCCCTGCATCTTTCTCACTTAGATGATGGAGACGACATTGGTGAGACATTGGACAGGGACAACCTGGGGAAAAAGAAACGAGGCCCTACAAAAAGGAAAGAGACGAAAAAGAAAGACAAGGACAAGGAGGGGAAGATGGCCAAAGCACGCAAGCGCAAAAAAATAGTATGTTGTTGATGCGTTTTTTCTCTCTTAATGTTGAAGTGCATTTTTTAAAATCAAACCTTTATTTAAAGGGTTAGTTAGCCCAAAAATGAAAATTCTGTCATTAATTACTCACTCTCGTGTTGTTCGAAACCCGTAAGACCTTCGTTCATCTTCGGAACCCAATTTAAGATATTGATGAAATCTGAGGGCTCTCTGACCCTCCCATAGACAGCAAGGTAACTACCACGTTCAAGGTCCAGAAAAGTACCAAGATGATCGACAAAGTAGTCCGTGTGACATCAGTGGTTCAACTGTAAAGTTACGAAGCTACGAGAATACTTTACCCAATCTTACGAGAATACAAAAATAACAACTTTATTCCACATTTTCGTCTCTACTGGGTCACTTGTGAACGCGCGTTCACGACAGTATCATGACACAAGCGTGTGGCGGTGCCGGCGCTGACCCAGATCCGGCGTGATGACGTCA